TCAGTTGTTTAGTTATAATTTCAATACACCATGTAGATTTTACTAAACAAAACTCACATCTTTCGATTCCAAAAACGTGCAAAGTATTTCCCCCCGAAGTTGCTTGCACAGTTCCCAGCCTATCATTCTTGGAATTCGAGAATCATCCATCACACGACCGAATTTCTTTCCAATACTGGGAACTGCTTCAAACGCCCATATCTGTACAATAAAAAATTTAATTTTCAGAAACATAATTAAAAAACTGTAATGTAAAAAATAGTGATTGAAAATATTACCATGATTGCAAGGGGAAATCCATGCAAAGAATACGGATATCGCTGAGAACTTGTATAGTTCTTCAACGTTTCTCCCAAGTTACGCCTGAACACCCTAGTAGTGTATTCATATGACATTTTCCCCCATGAATAGTTGTTAAATCTATCAACATCATCCACCAAATAAAACCACCACGGGTTAATATACGTATTCTCCTCTGTTGACAAAATTACATACACCAATATAACGAGGAGGCCCAACTTATATTTATCGCTCTTATTCTTGCAACGTTTGAAAACATCTAACAATAAACCTCTCTTTACTTTGCCGTTGCTACGCTTGAAACGTTCTTTCATTAGTCTACAATTATGCCCGAGCGTCGGATCCTCGTCCTCCATGTCCCCAGCTTTAAACCCAGTCACCAATGTGAACTCTTGCAATCCAAATCTTGCAAGCTTGTCTCCAATTTTAATCCACACTTCATTTTCTTTTGAGGTACTTACCGACCTCAGAATTAACTGGTGGACCAATTGTGAAGTAAGTTTTATCTCCCTCAAGTTCAACAAATGTCCAAAGCATGAGTGTGTGAATAAGTCTTGATGTAAGTCATCCAAGCTGTAGAATACTTCATCAACCAATTTTATTCTACACCTGTTACTTATCTTCGCGTTTACTATATCTTCACCATCCATTTTTTCCTGCAACCAAAAAGGCAAAACAATAATTGAGTTAGGAATCTTATTTCTCAAAGCAATATATCTATGTTAAGAGTTTATTTGTTCACATATATACATAGAACAAGCCCAGTGGATCTGATTCTGGAATCAGATCTGGGAGTTTCCGCCAGAGGCATGGATCCGAAAGAATTCCATCTCAAAATCGGTCATAGATGAATTTTCTCATTTTGATGAAACCTGGATACTATGAATGAAAGCTGCAGAAATTTTTGCATGGCACTTTGATCCGTAGACTTAGTAAAATGTATTTTGCAACTGTACAGTTTAACATTCTGGAGAATGCTTTTGCAATTGTACAGTTTAACATCCTCGAGAATGGTGGTGGAATTGTACAGTTTATTTGCATTTAATTTAAATGTTCTCATCTATACATTTTTTGTTAGTTTCAATTTAAACGTTCTCATGCCGTCACTTGTGCAAAACGACACTTGTGCCGTTACTGGAGACAGAACGGCACAAGTGTCGTTTTCCTGCCTGAATGAAATCCAACGAGAACGGCACTAGTGCCGTTACTGTAAACAAAACAACAATTTGTGTCGTTCTGCCTGGAACGACCTGTACATGTTTAAATATAACGATAGAGACACTTGATGAAAGCTTGGGTTTCGAAAATAAAGGCAAGTGCAATGAAACAAATGAGCAAAACGACAGTTGTACCGTTACTGGATACAGAA